TTCAGGTAAGCATTTGATTCCAATATCATGCAATTTTCGTCAAAAACAAGAATTCTCAGCAACTGAGAAAGAACAAGAGAGAACAAGCGGCCGAAAAAGGCAATGGGAGGATGGAGCAGGGAAGCTAAGGAGGCTGTGCCCAGGTGAGGCCCAGCATGCCCCACGGGGGCCTCCTCCTCACTCTGATTCCGGAGGAACCAGGCCTCTGGGGCATCCTGCCCACCAGGGGGCACCCCGTCCCTTCTGCCCCCACCCAGCACCTCAATAAAGCAGGGCTGGCCTTGAGGGTTTCAGGAGGGAACTGCCTGCTGTGTGAGCAGTGCTGTAGCCTCACCACCCCGACAGGAGGTGGTTGGCTTCTGGCTACTTTTCCAGGAGTACTGATGGTGACAGGGTGAGCCCTGCATTCTTTGGCCAGGTCCCCATCTGCAGCCAGGGGCACACCCTCCAAGGTTGCTGGGGCAAGGGTGCAGTCAGAGCCATGCCTGGTGACCCTGGAGGCATGACCACCAGTGGAGGCACCAAGCCCCCAAGGGGTGAGCTCCCCGCAGCAACGAGACCCAACGCAGCCAAAAAAAAGAAAGGAAAAGCTTGTGGTATGTCTTACAAGACAGCCTGTCATGATATCAAGCAAGTGACAACAGGTTATCACCGAATCTGGCTGGAAACCACTGGCTTTAAAAAATCATAATGAAACTGGCTTGATGCTGAAAACTGAGAAGCAAACTCATTTTCACTTTGAGCCTAGGAAGTCCACCTAATTTGGAAAATTACCTAATATTTGGCAAAACAATTCAGCAAGTGTCCAAAATACTGAGGGGAACTGAACTGTGATCCATCCTCCAGGTGGGAAAGAACAAAATGAAATTCTGAAATTTTTTGTTAAAGGATTGAATCACAAGACTAGGGGAAGGAAAGAAATGCAGCTGCTGGGACAGATTTGAATTTCAGGTAAGCATTTGATTCCAATATCATGCAATTTTCGTCAAAAACAAGAATTCTCAGCAACTGAGAAAGAACAAGAGAGAACAAGCGGCCGAAAAAGGCAATGGGAGGATGGAGCAGGGAAGCTAAGGAGGCTGTGCCCAGGTGAGGCCCAGCATGCCCCACGGGGGCCTCCTCCTCACTCTGATTCCGGAGGAACCAGGCCTCTGGGGCATCCTGCCCACCAGGGGGCACCCCGTCCCTTCTGCCCCCACCCAGCACCTCAATAAAGCAGGGCTGGCCTTGAGGGTTTCAGGAGGGAACTGCCTGCTGTGTGAGCAGTGCTGTAGCCTCACCACCCCGACAGGAGGTGGTTGGCTTCTGGCTACTTTTCCAGGAGTACTGATGGTGACAGGGTGAGCCCTGCATTCTTTGGCCAGGTCCCCATCTGCAGCCAGGGGCACACCCTCCAAGGTTGCTGGGGCAAGGGTGCAGTCAGAGCCATGCCTGGTGACCCTGGAGGCATGACCACCAGTGGAGGCACCAAGCCCCCAAGGGGTGAGCTCCCCAGCTCCCAGGCGGTGACTTGCCCAGGATCACATGGCTAGTTAGCACAGGCCCAACTGGAACCCAGGTCTCCCAACCACAACCCCCAATGTACAGCTTTCCACGTTTCTTCAGCAGTGGGGCAGCAGAGGGAGTCAAACTGTGGGTGGAGCCGGCCGCTGCAGCAGACACTTGGATGAGGTCTATGAACCCAGAGAGATGAGGCTCTTTGACTTGTCTTAAGGGCATAGAAGGGAAAAAAACAAAAGCAAGTTTATACTCATAGGGAAACATAATCTGTGATTATAAATATTTCATGAGCAAAGAAAGCGGTACTGACTGAGAGACTGGGGTGGGGAGGGTGGACAGCAAATTAGATTCCAGTTTGCAAAGTGATAGGGCAGCTGGGAAAGCAGCAGAGCTGAGGCTATTCTGGGCTGTGTGCTGCCAGGGCCTGCGTCACGGTCGGGGAGCGGTCTCTGGCCCCCAGCCCCTGGAAACCACAGCCTTCCAGCAGTCAGCACAGAACACCTTGGGAAGAGTGTTTAAGCCCATGGAAGACCTGAGCTGAGGGGGGATGGCGGGACCGTCATTTGAAAGACTCCGGCAAACCTCAACAGGAGGGAGGTGGGAGCGGGGCTGGAGCAGGGCAGCTGGTGCCCTGTAGACCCGTGAAAGGATGGACGCACGTTCTGCTGACTCAGGGCAGGGGAAGAAGTGAGCCTGACCCTATACAGCGAGTGCCCTTCAAAGCTAGAGGGCAGCTTTGGTCAAGCTGCCCTGGTCAGAGCAAAGGCCATGCCCTGAGCAGGTGGTGCCAGGCTGAGAATGGCAATCCCGCCCTTCCTTTCCCTCAGGACAGGGGTCTCTTCCTCCCCCAGCCTTCAGGAAGCAGCCCAGAAAGCAGAGGAATTAAGAACTTGCTCAGTAGCAGCTGCTGCAGCTGGGGAGACACTCGCCCCTGGCAAAGCAGGCCCCGGTGCAGGCGATTCCTCCTCCGTGGCCAGCGTCAGCTGCTGCAGCAGAGCAGGTCAGCCAGAGTCTGCCGGCCCTTCCAGAGGGCCGGGTGATGAGGGTGCTAGCTCCTAAAATACCCAGAGGCACCTTGAATCAGCCTTTAATCAGAGCAGCCCCGACCAGGAAGATGGAAAAAGAAGAGCCTTCGCTTCCCAGCAGTCAAGGCTGAGCTGGTGAGGCTCCAAGTGAACCCACTGAATTCGGGAAAACCAGATTATTATCCTCTAGACTCACAGCTAGTGAGAATCAGCTCAAGATGGCAAGGACTCATCAACCGCAAAAAAGTTAAGACCCCCAGACACTGTGGGAAGACCCCTGCGGTGAAGTCATAGGCTCTGGCTTTGAGACCAGCTTGACCATCTGTTAGTTGCAGAAAAATCACGTTACCTCTGAAACTCGGTGTCCTCATGTAAAACACGGGACCAGTGGCCGCCAAACCGTGAGGAACACCAAGAATGCACGTACACACAAATGCTTTCAAAATAGACACTGAGTGCTATTCCAATTTAAGAGATTATTTACATCCAGCTACCTACTTGACACCTCTCGGACATCTGAGGTGCCTCCATTCAGACGCCATTCAGCTGCTCACCCTCCCCCACCCTCGGGCCTCTCCCAGAGCACCCAGCTCGGTGTTCTGCAAGACCAACCATCCAGGCGCGGAAGCTGGACACCTGAGACACATTCTTGGCCCTTCCCCACCATCCTAACGCATTGCCAAGCCCAGTCAACTGCACCCGCTAAAGGCTTCTGCTCCCCTCCTTCACCACCACCCTAGGCCAGCAGGTCATCATCATGCAAAGCCTACACTCGTCCACTCTGGACTCCCTCAGACCCACTCCACAGTCAATCCAACCGTATCTCCCCTCCCACCACCCTGACCCTCCTTGCTGAATACCCTCCAACAGCGTCCCAACGCCCTCAGGATAAGGAAGGCTTCCCAGGCTTGGCTGGCCCTGCCTCTCCAGCCCCATCCCACACCACAATCCCTCCTGCTCGCCCTGCTCCAGCCACATCGGCTTTTCCTTTGAGTCCCTGGGACTCACCCCATTCCCTTCTGCCACAGGGTTTTTGCATATGCTCTTCCCTCTGCCTGGAACACTTTCCCCTCCTCTATCACCTAGCTAATGCCTGTCCATTTATTTTTACTAAGGTGTAAAGTACAGTGCACTGAAGTATATAGCTCAATAATTATTTAGATGTATACACTCACGTGACTCCCACCCAGATCTAGATTTAGAACATTTCCAACATCCGTAAGTTTCCCTTGTGACCTTTGTGGTCTATGCTCTTCCCCACCCCCTCAGGTAGCCACTATTCTGACTTCTATCACAATGCCTATTCATTCTTCAAAAGGCAGCCCATGCAAACTTTTCTCAGGGAAGCCGCCTCCTGTCCCACGGAAAGTCTAACCTCTCCATCGAAGGCACTTGTTACACTTGGGGATCTGCACGTGTTGGAGTCATTAGGTGATCTGTGTCAATTTGCCCAGGAGAGCACGGACATGTACTTATCCTCACCTCTTTCCCAGCACTGGCAGCTGCAGATCAATGATGACAGAAAACAGCTGATGCCTATCAAGTGCTTATTATCGCCAGGTACTCACAGGCACGAACTCATTTCTTACATCCACCGTATCAAGCAGGTACCATTATCATGTACCCATTTTACAGGTGAGGAAACAGAAGGTGTAAGAAGCAAAATAACCTGCCCAGAGGCATTACGTGTAAGTGGTGGAGTCAGGATTGGAACCCAGGCAGTCTGGCCACAGAGCATGTGTTCTTAATCGTCATGTCACTCTGCCTCTCAGAGGCCACTGGAATGTTTAATGAGAAGTGCCCAGGACAGTTTGAATGAATAAAGGAGTGACTTTAGAAATGAGTTGATGAGATCCCATTTAAAGAAACTAAGGAAGCGCCCCAGAACCTCCCCAAGGAGACCAACAAACAAATGGGAGGTAAAATGTCACTGAATCCCCTGCACAGGCCCACGATTTGGTGCTCTGCAAACACCGGAGCTAGTGCATTTCCCCAGGAGTCAAGGCAGGAAGCTGTCTGCTCTGGGCACAGAGAAGCAGCCGGTGCCTAGCAGAGGGCACACCATGGTGGAGGAAGGATCACGGTGTGGGTTCTCTCGGAGGCTGGAGCCCACGCTGTGCTGGAGGAAACGGTCCCCCGGCTCCATTCACACTAACCCAGCAACCCAGTCACCTTCATACCCATTTAGCACCTCCGGCCCTCTGACACAGGAAGATGACACTCTGGAAGGCAAATAAACAGTTTGCCTGGCTAGAAAGGATATTCCATTGCATATCTACAAACTGGCATTTGGCGTGTACCCCAGTTTTCCAGAGCCTGATAATCCTGGGTGAGTTCACAGGCTACTGCAGGCAAAGACCACCACCTCACGTGGCACCTTTTAACTGTTTCAGTACCGTTGACCCCATGGCCACACCCAGAAAGCTCAGGAAGAAACGTACAGGAAAACATTTATTTTCTCACAGCACACTGCGCCCCAGGCTCCCTCTCAGCAGAGGCACAGCTCTCAGAACGGCTCCATCCATGAGCCCACAGGCAGCCGGTGCCTGGGCTCTGCTCACACAAAGTTCTGGGCAATGGCCAGCACCTTGGAAAACTCGCCTTCCCTCTGGCGTAGGCTGGTGGGGATGGGTGTCTTGATTCGGGTCCCCACAGGGTTCCCGTTGTCCTCGATGAGGACCACGTTGTTAGAGTCGAACCTGGGGGTCATCCTGGGACCGGGCATACGATGCCCCACAATAAGCGCCTTTTTCTTCTGCCCCTTGATGGCCAGCAGGATCCGGTCGCCCACTTTGCCCACCCCGTTCTTGTTATAGACGTGGATGCAGCGAGGAGGGCGATGGTACGGGGTGTTTCCCAGGGCACTGTTGTCCACCACACGCACCCGCGTCATCTTCTGAATTGCACCAAGGCTCCCAGTGGTGCTGGCGGAAAAGGAAAAGAGTCTGAGGTCTGCATCTCTGCTGGTCAGGGCGCAGAGGCCTCTGCCAGACCAGGCTTGGCAGCATGCACATTAGCAGGGCCCTGACAGAGGCGGTGCCTGGGGAGGCTTCTCTGTGCCCAAGGCAGTGCCCTCACAGTTCTTCACGGCTTCTGCTGCCGGGTCAGGACCTTGATCTGGATGGGTTTTAAAGAGGACCTGATATTCTGTTACAACAAACTGCATGGCAGACTTAATTTAAAGCCTTCGGTTTCCAAAAGGCCTCTGAGGATTAAGGGAATACCTTATGGGCCAGGCCTCACCTACTGCCTAGCCTGCAAAACCTGCTCCCCCAGAATACGCTGATTACCAAATGCCCCATCTACATGTTGCTGAGAACCAGAAGGTACAAGTGAGTGTGTCTGCTAAGGGAGTCCTTTGACACAACATAGCAGAAACTGAAAATAAGTCAAGGTAACAATCTTTTGTTTTAATGCATTTTTCCCCACTATAAAGAGTACCTATTAAAGGCAAATAAGCTACTATTAAGCCATCTGATGACAGTGGGAATTCTAGTTTGCTGCCACTAGGACCCTAGTGCTGGTGTTCTCCCGGGTGACCCAGCGTCCTCTTCTCTAACTCCACATGCCTATCCTGGGCAAGGTTCTCTATCCCCATTGTTTCCAGCTAGTAAATTCCATCTCCAGCCCCACTTCTCTCCTATCCTTCGGTCCTGTATTTCCACTCCAACTCCTCACATGTCCTACAGATGCTGCAAACTCAGTAGGTCCTACAGTGACTTCATCGCCTCCCCCTGCAAACCTCCTCCCACTGCTGTGTTTCCTACCTAGATGGTGGCTTCTCCAGAAAATTCAGCTCCTGAGCCATAAAACTCTCTCCATCACCATCCACTGGCTACCCCGTTCTACTGACACCACTCCTGAACACCTCTGTCCTCTCCCTCCACCCCCGTCGACACTTCCTTCATCCAGCAGCTCACTCTCTTACACCAAGACTATTCCGTTAGTGTCCTAACCAGCTCCCTGCGCACCTCACTCTGCCAACCAAGAGCTCTTTTTAGAATATAAAACGGAGGGCACTCCCCTGCTCAGGACTGGTCAGTGGTTCCCCCACTGTATACACTGTCAACAACCTGGCCTCTACGTACCTGCCTTCTGAGGTCCTCTATCCTGCCACTCACACATTCACTCTGAGCCCCGATGGCCGGGAATCCCTGGAGCTCTCTAAGCGTGCCTGGCCTCTTGGCCCTCCCTGGGGGCCTGGACAGGACCTGCCCCCATGTGCCTTCTGGGAAGGCAGCTGCTATCCTCCTCTTTTCCTCCTCCTCCTCCATTAGCAGCCCCTGCCTCGGGCCTTCCAAAGAACTGTACAAGCCTCTATTATTATACCGGTCACATTTTCTTAGAGTTATTTGTTTCCAACTTTGCTCCCGTGGCCAACTGTGAGAACTCTTCCAGGGCAGGAAGCAATCCTTATTCATCTCTCTATGACCAAGCCTGGGCACAGAGCTCAGTAAACACTTGTGGAATGAGTGCACGAACAGGGCCAAAAGGCATGTTTGCCAACAGGAATGCAACCTGTGCTCTCCGCCCTGGCTTAGCATCTAAATGGGGAGGGGAGAGGTTGTCAAACTTCCATCATGCTTGAGTTTATGGTAATAAGTATGTGATTTAAAAATATATATATATATTCCATTTTTAACAGAGAAGGGTTTTCCCCCCTTTTATTTATATGTTTTTTTAAAAATGAAATATTATAGTTGATTTACAATGTTCTGTTAGTTTCAGGTGTATTAGCAATATGACTAAGAATGAGTATATATACTCATATATATCTAAAGTATATATATACTTTAGATATATATAAAATGTATATATATGCATATATATGTATATAGAGAGTATATCTGTATATATATATACATATATATGTATATAGAGAGTATATATACACATATATGTATATATAGAGAATATATATGTGTATATATGTGTGTGTGTGTTTATATAAAGTGTATATAAAATGTATATATATACATTTTCTTAAAAGAGAAGGTTTTAATACACTGGAGGAATGATAGGGTTGAAAGACATCAGATTCACTATAAGAGTCTGGCAAGGAGGGAGGTTTCATCATTCTCCATATCCATTCCCAATCCCGTCCTCAACGGCAATATCGCCTCCTTACCTATCCCCCTCACCTGGCCTGACCAAACCCCAGTTCCATCTATGCCTTTGGATTTCCCTGACCCCCAAGCCCACCTCCCTGAGTTTCCACTCCTACTCCAGTCACCAATACCCCACCCTGACAGGAGGGTTACTCAAAGACACAGCTTTAAGAACTTAATAGGAAAAGTTACCTGAAACAGCGTTGGCTCAGTGCTCTGCTCACGTGGGCGAAGGGGCCCCAGAGCCCAGTAAAGAAAGCCATGGGATCCCAAGATGGCAAATCCTGCAGGGAAAAAGGGGGGAAAAGGATTTATTTCTAAGTCATTGTCCATACTCAGAGCCAGTAGTTTTTGGTGTTTGGTGTTTGTTTTTTTTTAAAACTTTTGGGGACTTGTGTGGGAGATGGCACTTCGAGCACAAGATCATTAGTCACTAAATATAAATCTTAGTGGTTAAAAGATACGCAGATGATTAGAAGGAACTCCAGCTGCAATTTTGCTGATTCATATTCTAACTGGGGTCAGAGAGCTGGAATGGCCCACCACAGTTCTCGCTGTAGGTTACACAACAGCACAGAGAATGCCTTCATAATTATATCACCTCCACAGCACGAATCCTCTGGGACACACCCAGGCAGGAAGCACTTCCCACATCCTCCACAGAGGAAAACCTGCACACTGGCCCCTTGTTGACACTCGTGTGCCTCCTGAAACCAGAACTTTTACTCCCTGGAGGAAAGTAGATTATCTGAGCAGCTGCCCAGGTTGTCTGTCACCACATCACCTTTCCCCCAAATGTAAAAGCCAGAACACCTGGACAGCTCAAGGTTAGCAAAGTAGTGCCAAAGGATGCCCTTGCCAAGTCACTGACCAAGGCCTCTATTTGGGTGGGTCTCCCAAATGACAACGTAACACAGAAAAACTACGTACTCGCTGTACAGCAGAAACTAACACAATACTGTAAAGCAACTATACCCCAATTAAAAAAAAAAAAAAGAAAGAAAAAAAGAAAAACTACCTACCCTACACTGCAGCTGAAAGTGGGCTTTGGGAGAGCAAGCTGGAGACAAAAGAGCAAACGCCAACCCAACACTGGGTTGCAGCTTGCAGAACCTCAACCCTGTGCTCCCTAGCACCAACCTATATGGCCATCCCCAGGTTCCTGAAACACCTGGGCACCAGTGAGGGGAATATTTAAGAAAAACCTACAGCCAGCTGGGAATTCCAGCTGCAAGACATGCCTGTTTTCCACCCACATGTTTGGCTACAGAGGGCCTCATTCAAGAGCTCTGCTGAGAAAGCCTCTACCACTGTAGTATTTACACACGGCTTTGCCTTGCATAAGTTCAAAGCACCTTAGATAAGAGTTTATTTAATAATGGTGGGGCAAAACTCACTATTTACCTTCACAGAAATACCTAAACACTCCAGAAACGCTTATTAACTACAATTTAGCCTCAAACCTCAAACTTATTCGCCAGTGTTTTCCTTAAGACAACCCAGGAAGCGTTGGCCAAAATGTAAATATGATCAGAAACACGTGCAAAAGAAGGCTGCCTACTTACAGAACTACTAACATCTGACACACAGAATCAAAGACTATCAGATAAGGCCAGCTTTACCTTCACAGCTTGGTAGCCCTGGAGAAGGAATTATGAGCTTCGGCTTTCCCATCTGTAACGTGGGGTTTCCCCACCTGTAACACCTATTCACAAGACGGTCGTGAGGTAAGCCACGCAAAGCACAGAGCATGATGCCCGCACTCAATACACCCTCAATACCTATTTGCCCTCTCCATCATCGTCGTCATCACATCACGTCCCATTTCGAAGATCAGGAAACTGAGATACAGAGAGAGGAAGGGACTTGCATAAGGCCCCATAACTAGCCAAGGGCAGAAGCAGAACCAGAAGTGGACTCAGCTTAGGTCCAAGGGTCTTCCCTCCACACCCTATGGCCCCACTCTGCCGTAAAAAGCCCACTTCACACAGGAACTCAGGGTGAGAAGCAGCTTTGAGGGTCACCTGGTCTTTTTCTGCTTTCTTTCTTTATGAAAATGTATCGACTAGTTATAATGTGTCTAAGTGCTTTACATTATCGTCTCATTTAAGCCTCACAAAAACTATGAAATGGACACTATTATTAGCCCCATTTTATACAGGAGGAAATGAGGCCCAGAGAGGTTAGATAATCTGCCCAAGTCGCACAGCTAGGAGTGACAAAGCTGAAATCTGAACCCCAGAAGTCGGCTTCCTGAACCCACCCTCTGAATCAGCGCAGTTAACATGGTAACTTTAACTTAAATATTAGTATTTTTCCAACTGTTAGATCATCCTTGTTCCATCAAGAATACTGAAGTCACATGAACATTTTACTCAGACCTAACTCAGTGCTTGCTGAATCAACTGAAATGTAGACAAACACCAAGTGAAAGTCATTCACTTTCATCCAATTTAGGTTTTGAATACAATTTGAAGTGTAGGTGGCAAGAAGAGCTCCACACTCTGAGCAATAATGGAAAATTGGCTTTAAAAAAACGGAATAAAAAAAGTAGCTCTGAAAAGCAGTCCTTCTGGTCCAGGCTGCAGTTACGTCCAATCTCAGCCAAGACTTTGCATCTGATGCTGGCGGGCCCCTACTCTCACTCCCTGGGAGAAAAGAGGCTCCTTGGCTCCTCCAAAGAACCCTCAAGGTTAGTCCAGCGCCACCCACATTCCTTCTCCTGAGAATTGCAACATCCAGCCTCTCCACACTGCATCGCTTCCTCCAGAGCATTTATGTGAGTCCAAGAAGTACAGAAGTGCCTGGAGGCTTCCCAGAACTTTCCCAACTTGGGCATAACAAACCCCACCATTCAAGGCACCTCCCTAAAATCTACAGGGCAGCCTGTGCACAAACCACACCCAGGCCCCCTCTCTCTGCCTTGCTGAGAAGCCACCACCACAACCTGGGTCCATCTCTGCCCAACCAAACTGCCCTGGCCCCAACACACCTCCTGCGAGCAGCTCTGTGTAAGGCTACAGCATCTGCTGTCACCCCTCCTGCACACCAAGGACATCTGGGCGTCCTGTGCCAAAGGAACTCTCACTGTTCCAATTTTCACTATCCAAACTCAGACATGGAATAAATCTGGATTATTATTATTATTTTTTTTTTTGGAGATGAGGCTGATAGCCCTTAACATTCTAGTTCTTGCTACTCAATATCCACAGAAACCACAGAGATCTTGACAACATGGCATCTGAACTCACTATAGGAACTCAGGAACCACACAGACTCCGGATTTACCTGTATTACCCTCAAACACAAAAGTAATACATTCACGGCTGCAGGGAGCACCTCCATTTTCACAAGAAAAGACCAAATTCAAAGACTTTTCACTAGCTCTTTGGTGGATCTGATACTGACCTCCAGACCCAAAGGACTTAAAGACATCAAATGGACAGCAGTAAGCATTCCTATGAACTTGAAAGCATAAAAGAAGCAAATATACTTGTATATTTGTATACAAAAAAATCTGTGGTCCCCTCCACTGTCACCCCAGCAAAAGATCCCAGCAGGTCCTGACAGAGTGGGAGTACAATAAATATTTGTTGAATAAAATAAATGAGGTAGCCAAAAGAAAGACAGAGTCCCCCACCCACGGCTCGACACAGGGAAATCCAGATACTGTAGAGATCTCATCTGTATATCGGGAACCAGCACATCACATGCAAACATGCTTTAGGAGAACCATGGTGCTGGTCATGAGAGGATTAGCTCATGCTATGTCTACAGGCCCCTGGAATCATCTCCTGGGTCTGCTGCTTACACTGCCCACTGTGAAAAAATACCATTGCACCACTAAACAACTGGCTCAGATCAGGTAAGAGTAATGAGGGCTGCAATTTATTTCAAAGCAACTGACTGACCTTGATGTTATTTCCTAGGATAAATCCATCCTGTAGACACAGGCCCTGATTCACTTCAGATCAGTCTGTATAGAGTGCTTTGTCTCACAAGCAATGTTATTCTGAGTCCGGTGTTTGCACAGGAAGCTAACTCCAATGATATTTCCTCCTCTACTCTCACTCAGAGGAGGCCTGGTATTCGGAAGACTCCAGCGCCAGAGATGGCTGTTCATGCCACTTCCTGGTCAGCACTAGTACTGCCATCCACGTTTAGAGTGTGAATCATAACCTCTGGGGGTGGGGGGATGGGGAGGGCAAGAGAAGGAAGGCAAGAGAGAGTGAGAGAGGGAGAGGGAGAGAAATTACTTGATACAATCCAAGAGCTGTGCTTACTTCAAATCTTAGTTTAACTTTAAGATCTCCCTTCAGTTCTGGAGGCCAGGGAGGACTGTAGATTTAGGGACACACAGGTGAGTTTTTCACTTGGCATCACCTTATAGGTCCCATTGGAAGAACATTGCTCCGTGGGAGCAGGGACCGTGCCTGCCCCGTCCAGTGCTGCATGCTCAGGACCTAGAACAGTGCGTGGCACACAAATGGAGCTCAGTGAGTATCTGTTAAATGTATAAAATTTATCTGCAATTGCAATTCCTCCTCCAGCTCCAGAGAGGCTCCATGTTGGTGGGTTGGTGGTCTTTCTTGTGCCCTTCACCCAGGCTCCCAGTAACTTGGGGGAGCTTCCTAGACACTGAGAGCTCATTTTTAGCTAATTGTAATACATAGAGACTGAACTAGAAAAGCAGACAGAAAGAGCCTGATGCTTTGTGAAAAGTTAGAAAGTACCATTACTTGAACTTTTAGGAATCAGCAAAATGTTGTACTTAGTATCACAGATCCACATATATTTATACATTGTTTCTAACTGAACAGTTTCCATCTTTAGGTGCCTGGCATGTTTCATAAATTTTAAAGGCCTTTCAAGAGAAACAGGTTCTAAAGAAAAGAGACAAAATAAAAAGTTCAGCCCAACTGCAAAAGAGTGTTTAAAGGAGATTCTGTTAGTAAGTGACAGAAGTGAAAAGAAACACTAGGAGAAATCAAGTGCAAAGCCCAGCCACAAAACGGACAAACTCTGCCTAGTGTAAGGGTATAAATGTCCTTCTTAATTAAAGCAGGAAAAAGCAGAGGCCTGGCACCTTCGAGGAAACAAAAAACAAAAGGGAACTCCCTGGACCCTCTGCCCTGTCATGCTGACAGCCCTTCCCATCTCCTGCCGGTTTCACCCCAATCATTCTGGACCAAAAAGTACTCTTATTTGTTGCTTAAATACTCATTACTGATTTGTCCCGGAAGGATTCTCTTTCAGGAAGTTTTGTGAATTGTTTAAAAAAAAAAAAAAAAATCTTTTGTGAGTTTTTTTAACCTCACATAAGTATACATGTTACAGTTCTCAAAGTACTTTCACACAGATCACTTTCTTGGTTGATTTCATTCTTGAGCACCCAGTGGAAACAGAAAGATAAATAACAAAGAGCAACAGTTTGAGGAGGGTTGATTCCTAAGGATTTTGAACAGTTCTGAAGGTTCAATAGAGTAAGTGCCATTTCTCAGGTGAAGAAATTAAGTCAGAATTGCTAAGCGACTTGTCGTCTTGTCCTAGGAAGGGAAGCAGGGTAGAAGGCTGTTTCTACTACACCCTGCACAATACTTGCCCAGCTAAGGTGCTTCTTTAACCACTAATAGACTTCACAGAAACAAAAACACCCCACACAGTGCAAGTATTCTTTCTCCTCTCTTAAAGCTGCCACATCATCTTTTAAAACTCAGGAATTAAAAAGCTGTCTTTTCAATAGATATCTGCACCACAAACAGCACAGCCTGGGACCAATCTGATTCTGATACATTTGCAAAGGTGTGAGTTTTCACAGGGTTACTATCAAGAAGCAATAGCAATCCCTCATTAGCACCATGGGCTGTTTCTACCATGGCTACCAGTGAGGACCCCAGGTCTCAATCTGGTTCACAAAGAAAAAAACGTTTCCAGGGTTCTTGTCTCTATCTGTTGGTTAACTATACGTGTTTATTTACCTGTATATTTGTTTGCTCCACCTTGTTACAGATTTAAAATCGTGGTTCTTAAAAATATCTGACAGTTCTCCATTATTCAAGGTGGTTTTTCAATGTGTAGATCTTACCTATTTCTAGCTTTGCTCCCCTGCCATCCCCACCTCACAGGTGTGCAAACACCTATAGTTCCAGAAATAAGTTTATAACATTATTGGTATGGTCTAACTCAGAAAAACTGCACAAGGCAAAGGTAAATTCTACTTAATCACGTACATATTTCTTTCCTATTAGTACCTCTACCAAGCCAGTGGCAAGGAGCCAGGTTTATAGAGATGTCAGGTGGGCAGGCAGGGGGATGGGGGTGGGATGAAAGGCCCAAAGAAAGGGTATCTCCTCCACCCCTCCTCCCCTCCTTTCCTGCCAAGTCTGTTTCCTTGGAATCCACTACTCCAGGCCTCAGTGACTGTCAAGCAAGGGTCATTGGTAAGAGCAAAGAGGCTAGGAAATGAATGTGTTTTAGCTGCACTCACGTAAGGGATGGTTTTTCAAGTGGGAGAACCCCTCTCTGAATTAACCAGTAGGGCCCAGGTCTGCAGCATAAGCAGTTTGATTCCCAGATTCTGACCAGGGAGAACAGTCTCACTCCCTGATTCTCAGGGCAGCACTATGGGTGTCTCTTTAAGATCACTCAGTCCTGAAAGTGTTTTTCAGCTTAAAGTAGACTAGGAAAAGTACTCCCTTGTTTCTAAAGACATAGATGATTTTCTTTTTTTTAAGTTTTCGACAAGGAGACTTTCTCACTCTGAGCTGTGTTTCACTGGTGAATAATAAGCTACCTGGCACTTTTCTTAATAAGAGAGCATATTACCTGACCCAGAGCAACATTTCTGGGATCTGAATCATAGCCCTCTCCTACAAGCTGGTTGCCATTGTTAATACACATGTAAAATCACACCAGGGTGAACCAGAACAAACCAGTGGCCTCTAAAAAAGGATCAATTGTAACCTGATTTTTGAGACCCTCCCAAGTTCCCACATGGCCATAAGAACTAACCAAGTAACGAAAACAACAGGAAAATCCATCTTATGTGGGTCCAGGTGTCATAATCCCCCAAGACGGGAGTAGGGTAAGACAGGTTTCAAAGGACTCTTGCATCACGTAAGATTCTAGATGATGAGGAGAGTCTAAATAATTATGTTCAGTGCTCAACAGAGCACCTAAAAAATGGACTCCAGGGAAGGTTTTTACCCTTCATATTCAGGGGCACTAATAAAACATTTTGGCCATTGTTCCTTCACGGATTCCACCGTGTACTTCATTCAGTTCTCATTTCGGTCTTTCTGAAATGTTTCCTCTTCTCTCTGTCTGTTAGTATGTGGTGACCCTAATTAGGCACAGGCAGAAATAGATCTGGAATCCACCACATGTTAACACGCCTAACTGCATTATTAAAAAGATCCTCAGGGGTCCCAAACCCAGGTAACTCCGGACTCCCATTTCCATTTTCCACACATCCATGACAAGGGCTACTTGGCAATGGATCACACCAGATTTACAGCCATAAAATCAACACAACGTGTAAAAAGTTCCATAGGAAATATACATCCAAGAAGCTCTAAGGGCAAAATGGACAATTCCGTAAAAGGGAAAAACAACAACAACACATATAGGACAGATTCCTTTTCATCTAAATGTCCTGCTGCTACCCAAAACAGCTCCCAGAATTCAAACCTACAAAGACTCCTCTCACCAGGCAGTCTACCATACACAGCTTAACCCCACCTCCCTTTCTGGCCTTCTTAGGAAGGCAATCTACTTACTTCCTACCCCAACAAAATCCTTGCTCTTCCATTGTACGTATTTCCATGAGTGAAGGGTAAACTGTCTTCTAGCATAGTAACCTCCCTGAAAAAAGAGACCCACTCTGCTGTTTATTCTATATCCCTGGCGTGCTAACTGCAACCTCATGGACAATTTTAAATGACTCTAAACGCAGGCTGATGAAGGCAAGAGCGCAAACAGGAGAACACAGGAAACCAATGTGTTTCGAACTTTTCTGTGACACACAGAAACGCACTGCATAACACCTCCTAACACACTCACACACACTCACACATGTGTGTACCTGAAGCAAGTGTCCAGAAACAATACTTACCCTTTTACTAAGTACAATGCTCTCTGATATTTTCTATTTTACTTCATTTTTTCTTAAATGATAGCCATGATCCACCAAAGTGATTTCCAACTAACCGACGGCACACTCAGTTCGAATGGGAATTCAGTTTGAACTGCATCAGAACCTTACAGCTGCATTACACAAGCTACTAATGAACCCTTGAAAAAGCCAGCAGACAGCAGAGACACTGGTCAGCCACAAGAACCAGACATACCCAGGTAGGCAGTGCCTTTCCTCTGTCCAGCAGCCCAAGCTCAAGTATCTCCCAACTTCCCAGCTTTTCCCTAGTAACCCGAGGTGACTCTGTCAATATGCTCTTTGGTTAACCTCTTTATAAATTGAGCCCATCAATCTCTTTGGGTGGCAAAGTTCATTTACTGCCCACCGTGAAAAGCAATACCTCCTTTCTGTCCCCAGACCATCCCCCATCAAGCCTGAAGGGAAGAGAGCCTTCCAGGAACCCACAATTAAATGGAAAAGTTGGTATTCCGTGTGCCTCTGTGATCTATTTTGTGGGTAACGTACAGGAATTATGCACACGCGCAGACGCAGACACACACACACACACCTCTCTCCTTCCCCTCTCTCTCTCTTCCTTCCAGCCTTAATCCCTGGCAGGTGCAGCCTCTGATGAAATGGGAAACCAGGGAAACCCCTGAAGCCAGGGTAGCCACTCATAGGCATGACAGTGAAAGCGGTGGACTCACTCTCCACACCACAGAAGCGCCTGGCAAACGAGTCACAAAGTCATCTCAAGACCCAGACTGGGAAAGAAAAGGGAGGAACAGAGAAGTAGACAAACCCGAGGAGCCATGCCAGAGTGACCGGCCGAGGCCACCTCGTGAGACCTAGCGGCAGCCCGCCCAGTCCCCGGGAAGGCAGGTGAGCGCAGGCCAGGGGCACGGGGTCGCAGTGGCCACCGGCGCCCTCGCCGCCCTTGGGGGATGGGAGGGAGGAGGGTCCGGGTCAGAGGCCTCGTTCCCCGTCGGGACCCTCCCACTGCCCTCCACCCCCAGAGGGCCCACGATTCTCGCACTACGGCCCTTCCTCACCCATCCCGGAGTGTGCGCCACCCCTCCTGCGGGGAAGCAAGGGAGAGAGGAAGCAGCTAGTTAGGAGAGTGACGTCCCCCCCGCCACCCCACTCCATACCGCCTTCGCCGCCCTGGAAATATCCTGCCGCGGGCCCTCACAGGCCCAGGGCCGCCTTCCCCCTACGCGGCCTCTCGCTCTGCGCCTGCGCGTCGGACCCAGCTAGGCGGACGGCGATCTGAGAGTGCGCCCGCTCCTTGCGTGTGCCGGCGTGGGGGGAGGGACCTGCGCGGCCCCGCCCCCTCATCCTCCCTCTCCCTCCTCCCGCTCCCCCTCCCCCAGACACTGCCGCGGCCGCCGCAGGAGCCCGGAGCTCCAGCCTCCCAGCGACTCCCCTCCCCCTCCCCCAGCCCCGCCCCGCCCCAACCCGGGGCTCCAAGCCGGAGCTGAGTCTGCGCCTGGGGGTGAGTACGAGACCCTTCCCCAGCCCCCTCTCTTTTCTTTGAGGATCCCACCACCACCCAAAGAAAAACCCCGGTCTCAGCTGCGCGTCCCCTCCCTTCAACCTCCTGCGGGACCCAGAGGTGCCCGGGCCCGCGGGACCAGTGGTGCCGCGCGCTGCCCCCAACCCCGCACCGTCCTGAGCCTATCATGTGAGTGCTCCGACCCCTGCCGGGGGTCCAGAGGTACACCTACCTCTGTCCCCACCCCTCGAGGGATCCGAGGGGTGGGACCCCCGCCCCCGGCCCCCTAGCGCCACTCTTCTCCCACCTGCCCGGTCCAGGTGCGCGTCCCCTCCGCGGTTCCAGCAGCGCCCCATCAGCCCGCCGCCGCTGTGGGGAATCTGCCGCCCCCGCCCCCGAGTTTTGAATTCCAGGGTCTCCAAGTCCAGTGTCCTCGGTGCCTTTTATCTTTTCTCCTGCTCCAGGGGCCGAGTACCCCAGAAGCCGGCCCGGGGCAGGGGTTCGGGCTTCGGCAAGGGCAGGGTTTGCGAGGCCGGCCGCTGCCCCCGGTCCGTCTGGGGACTGGTCGGAGGACTGGGGAGGCGACTGGCCCCGGGAGTGTGTCCTCTCCTTGCTCCCCACACAGTACAGTTCATTCATGAGCCGCCCGGGCCTGCGTTGGAGGGTGCGGTGGGGAAAGGATTCGGACTCGGAGCCGGAGTGGGGCAAAGGCCCTGTTGGGGGGAAGGGGGGCGGTGTGCTTTGTCCCTCCTGGCCTGCTGGACCACCTAGGGAGGACAGTCCCAAAGCTTTGGCGCCTTCCTCCCCAGAAGAGAAGGACGCTTGGGAAGTGGAGAGGAGAGGTCAGAGGGGCCGGCTGCCCTTGGGGCTCTGTGCTGCCTCCTGCCTGGGTCCCCTGGGTGGATGTCTGGCCGCTCAGCACTCCACTTTCCTGGAGGGGGGGAGGGGGGGGCGCACAGGCGGGAGGGCCAGGACTTCTGTACCCAATACTACTCTCTAGCCTCTCCCTGGGTCTGCAGCAGCCCAGGAAGAGTAAGGCCACCCTAGCCCCTCCTGAGGAGGGGCCCCCAGACCTGCCTCCCAGGAACATGTGAGGAGGGGAGTGACAGTGTCTGTCAGGCTTCCAGCGGGGGGGCTGGGGGGTGGGGTGCTGGCAGCATGACTGTCCTCCAGGGTACCAGAGGGTCCAGGCCCTGGCATGCCCCAGGTGGCACATGCTGGGGCCTGCTGTTGGCTCATCCAGTTGGATCTTGGCCTATGGGTGGGTGGGTAGGGATGTGTCAAGGCAGAAGGCAGTTGGTGAGTAGCTAACAATCCCCTTTTGGACATCCTACAAGTTCCCTCCAATTACAACAGTTTTGGAGACCTGGGTTCAAATTCCAGCTCTGCCATTCGTTAGCTGTGCGACCTTGACAAGTTACTTACTTGTCTGAACCTTAGTGTCAGTTAAAAAGTATGTTTACTACCATCTCCTTACGAGATTACTCATGGGCATCAAACTAGATAGTACAGGTAAAGAGCCTGGCACCCTGCCTGGTAGTGGATCAATAAGAGTTCTCTTGCCTGAACTTCTGACCCATCCTGGCATAGCACCACCCTCCCATGCCCCCACCTCCCAGCCTGCTACAGATGGATCAGTTTGTTTGAAGAGTTTGGAAACATTCTCTGCCACTCGGTGGCAGAGTCCTGAAAGCAGTGTAAGCCCTTAGGTCTAGACAAGAAGCCCATCCAGACTGAGGGGTTCTAGCATATTAAATTCTGTTTTATTTTGCTTTTTACCAGTTCTCCTTCATTAAACCAACCCCTTTTATTCCACACTTTATTGATAACAGTAGCTAATTTTTTTAGAATCCATTTGTTCCTTGAACTGTATTAAGAGCTTTACCTAAATCATCTTGTTTAATCTTCAAAGCAACCACATGACTGAATTATTATCCCCATTTACAGACGAAGGAACTGAGGCCCAGGGTGGTGAGGTAGTGTCGCCAGGTAAGAAGCCAGATCTGTCTCATCCTAGAGCCTGTACTCTTAACCACCAGGCTCTGTTGCTGGTCCCCTACACCTGCCTCAGAACCTGAAATCACAAACCCAGGGTGGAAGGTCTGGGAGCTAGAAGCAAGAGGGAAGGCAAACAGGTAGAAATGGGATGTGGCATATCTCCAGAGCTGTAGCTGGCAACCCCCAACCCCCAACCACCAGCATCCTGATGGAAGTGGCTCCTCTGTTGGCTGAGGCCAAAAGGTGCGGTGGTTAAAAGCATGGGCTTGAGCCAGGTTGCCTAGGTCCATACCCAGATCTATCACAGACTAGCTGTGTGCCATTGAACAGGTGATGTACGCTCTCTGTACCTCAGTGTCCTCCTAGGGTTGTGATGGGGAGTAAACAAGATAACATTTGTAAAGCACTTAGAACAGTGCCTGGCACAAAATACGAGTTAAATAGGTATTTGATAAATGCATTCTTTTCCTACCACTTTTATCCTCATTTGTGGATGCATTTTTTGCCCATCTCTCTGAAGTTGGTAGGGATGGAGCATTAATATTTCTTTGTTACACATTGAAAGACTGAGGCCCAGGTTACATAGTAACAGAACTAGCCTCCATCTTCATCTCCTCCCAACAGACCACACTGCCTTCCTATGATCCCAAGCCCTAAATTAAATCTTTCCTAATAACTCTTTAAGAAAAAAACTTCTAATTTATAACTCCCTCCCCACCCCACCCCCACCATGCAAACACTTCTTGATGATAAAGTAACCATCAGTTAGCTAGAAATAAAATCCTCCATCACTTTCCCTGCACACTTCCAGCTAAAGCCTCAGTGTCAGGCTAGAGAAATTCTGGGATACCACTGCTCAGGCAACCCTGTGGAGTGGATAAACTGCCCCTCCCTCCCCCAAACATTCTGCCTCAGTCTCTTCCCTTCTCTCATCTGCTCTCAGTGAAGGCTTTGAGAGCAGCTGCTCTGGGTGAAATTGAGCCCAGCAACCCCGCCTCCACAATTAAGAGCTTGGAGTACCCTGTCAGCAAGCCGAGCCACCAGCCCTGGCTCCACCCTTTCCTGCCCTGTGACCTCCCTGTGAGTGGTTTCTCCAACCGAGTCCCTGCTTCCTGCCCTGTCAAATGGGGAGTGTGCCCTGCCTTCCTGTTGGTGCAGGTGGGAAGAGCAGTGCAGTTGCAGAGGGGAGAGTCTTTGTGACTGTAAAGAGGGAGGCAGCAGATGGACCTGGTGACTTCAGTTACTAAGCACGTACCTGGACCCTCACCTACTCTACTGGGTCCCCTTATGTAGGAGCTCCCAGAATGTTCCACCTTCCTTGGAGTGGAGAGGATAGAATGGAAGGGGGATGCTGCTCCAGGGGTTTGTACCCATTACATTCTGGCCTGGTGGAGCCTTGGAGTTTTTGGAGAGAAACAGGCAAGGAGTGGGTATGGGCTGGATCGATTTCTGGAGTGCATTAGAGTTGGGACTTAAGGGAGGGGGGACTTGTGTAGAGGACCCCCAGTTACCACAGCAAGATACCTATACATACCTTTAACCTTTCCTGGTGCACCTTATGTTTACATACCCAGGCTCCCAGACACACCCACATACACACCCCCACTTAGAGACCAATGACTCTCTTCATTTCCGTGGATTGCCATGTAGTCACCCAGCTCCCCACCTCCCACCACACACGCACACAGATACACATATCAACACAAGTCTACACACCTAAGCACACACATTCTCACAGTGCTGTGGTGTTCTCTAGCCAGAGAACACATGATGAGTGTTCATTGAAGCTTCTGTAGTCTGCAGAGTCCTGTTCTAGGCGTGTCAGAAAAGCATCAAGGTGCCCTGAAAAGTGTTAAAGCTTTAGAAAGAAGTTGACCTAGGTTTGATCCTCAGGTCCATTATTTTATGAGCGTATGACTTTGGGAAACCTACTTAACTTCTCTGAGCCCCATGCCCTCATCTTAAAATGGCAATGACATCCAACTCTGGAGTGTCAATGATTAAATGAAAAATGTATATATTCTTGAAACAGTGGGCACTCCACACATGGCACCTGGTACAATTACTAAGTTAATGGGGTTTTTTTTAAGGCAACTTGGGCTGGAAAGGAAGAGGGAGGCATAACACACAGGGCAGTTATTCCCTTAGCCTTCCTAACCCAGGCTTTTCAGAGACTCCCTGGGACCAAGTGAGACACACAGACAACCCCAGCTTCCCTTCCATCTGAGAGCTAGTGCATCTTGCCCTGCAGTTGAAATGTTAGGAAGAGGCAGGGGAAAATATGGGATTGGTGGGCAGCAGAAACCTTCCGAACCACCCCAGGGGGCTGGGGGACGCTTGCTTTCCAGAGTTGCAGTCACCGATTCTATGTTTGTTGTTCTCTCTCTTTGCCTGGTTTCCTTTCTTCCCTGGGGACCCCCCCCCCCACACACACACACACCTACAAGGCAGAGCTTCAGTGTTGTCAGCAGAAGGGGCCCCCAGTGGCCCTCCAGTAGGATGGGGGTGGGGTGGTGGTGCCACGGCCACACTTCTCCTCTGCCCCAGGAGCCTCCCCAGAACCGGGCTCAGCTTGGTCCCCAGGCACTTCCAGAATCCAGGCATCCAGGCTGGCTGCCCCTTTCCTCCTCCTCCCCACCCATCCACCAGACCGTAGAGGGCTGGACAACCAGACAGTGGCAGGGAACCAGGCCGGAGGACACTACCCTGGCTGCAGGGGGCTTGGGCCAGATGAGAGGCCCCCACCCACTCTCCCTTCTTTTGCCAATGGA